TCATATAATGCAATCCTGATCCTTTCTATAAAGGTTTTGTTGTTTATCATTAGACATATTTTGACTCTATATCCATGCCAACATCAATATCTCATTGCTTTTTATGTATTTACTCATCATATCCCTTATCCTTTTTCTCGACATGTTTGCTGATCTCACCTCTTTGTACCCTCTCGTTTTGATCTAGTTAAGACACCGTCCTTTCTCCATACTCTTGCAATAACTACTCACCCATTTTATGCTATTACTGTGACCCCATTCATTGCACTACCACCATATACTGAGCAATTATGTCCCAATTAATGTCTTCCTCAATGCTCCTGGCTTTACTTGCATTTTTTTTGTTTTCTTTTGACCAACATTACACTTCTGCTCCACTTTCTCATTACGATCCTCATGCAAGGATTGTACTACTACATTCACCCTCATGCACATCATTCTCGTCAGCTATCACTCCAAACCATGACCTTGATAAGTCTTGTCGTTGTGTTTCTGCAGTCTTTTAGTTGCTTTTACGTTGCCTCTTTAGCTTCTATGTGACTGACTATTTTTTAGGAGTAGCAAGAATAGCCTAGCTTGCGCTATGATTTGGCTACACTTCAGCCTTCACATGCTTTGTTTTATCCTCCTAATGATTCTATTCATCCTTTGCTGAACATACCTCTCTTTGATGACCGTAAACCCCACAGTTGGTATGGAGCAAGTATAATCCTTCATACTTTAAGTAATAATCTCACCGTCTAAGTAGAAGCCAGACATTAATTGCTTGCCAGGATCAATTAAAACATAAATTCTAGCAAAATGTCCTCTTAGCTGGCCAACTGTATGAATATCCACTTTCAGAGTTTGTCCTATCCTATTCCCAATGTAGGAAAGTGCTTCATAATCGTAATACTCCAAAAATACTTTTGGTACTCGCACTTGGTAGCTTCACTCTAAGGCTTAAACTTAGGCTCCCAAGGACGAACTGTGAAATAGTAGTTGTAAATCATCCATGGATCGCTCGTTAATGCATTAAAATAATCTTCCTTATTAGAGAGCTTGACAACAAAGTATCCATAGCCAATGTTGATTAGTTGAATAACTCCTTTCTTTGCCTACATAGTTTGAAGTCTTGACTCCAAAGCTTTGAAACCAATTAGATTATCTAGAAATTTAACAATTACAGCTTTCTTCGATGCTTTATGAAGTCGTTTTTTGATTCTTGAGGAAAAAACAAAGGTTGGGAAGTTCCTATTTAGGTCCTCAATGGTTTGGAAGTCCTCTTCATTGTTGTTTGAGGTTTCCTCATCTTGCATCTCATCGTCTGAAAGGCCAGCATCTTCCCCATTATCTGTTTCTTCATATGAAGATTCTCCTTCTACAATAATACCCAGTGGTTTTTTTGTAAAAGTAGGTTTCGCACTTGGCCTCTGTGGTTCCTTCTCACCCAGTTTTAGCCAATGGCCTTGAAGAATATTTTTGCCTTTAGCACCGTCAACATTCTTGATCTTTTTAGAGCTACGTGCTACTTGATCATCTTCCTCATTGGTTTGTACATAGTTTCATAGCAAAGAGAGATTTCGCTAAGAGAGCAAAAGAGCCATTATTTTAGTCTATCTTTTTCGTGGTGCATAGAAATCCTATCCCCCTTTTTTTTGCGTATAACATTCGGTATCCCAACTCACTAACTCATAGGGAAAGACTAATCCAAACCTAGCCAAGAAGGCCCATTTCTAAGGGTAGGCTCTACCATACCCTCCTAAAGGGATTTACCACACTACTGCCTTCCCAGACTCAAACTCGAGACCTGGTTAAGGTAGGACAACCTCAGTACCAATTGACCTAAGCATTTGATAGTAAAATCATATCCCCCTTCAACTTGAACCCAAGTTCAAAACTGTAGTGAAGTTTCAAACTTTCTCTGTTATATTTAAAATAAGAAAGGTTATAAACTTTCAACCCTCCGAATATTAATTGCATGGCATTGCAGTTTTTAAGTTACACCCCCAACGGCCCAAGTCCTCGACTATAGCAAGTCATCATTCCTTCTTTCCCCCTTCTTCGAGGTTTTTTAAGATAATCGTCCTGAATCCATTGACTATTATAGAAAAACTCACCACTTGTACGCATACTCGTGGCTGAAAAATTAAACGCAATCTACTAAAGGCTGAGATGCAATTTTTAGTCATTAGAAAAAAGGCACAATTTTCAGCGATAAACATTTGCAAACCATTTGTTGAATATACAAGTAAAAGATTTGGACCCAACAAAAAAGGAAAGAGCGATTATTACTAATGCATAGCAATACTTGTTGCACATTTTTGGTGAAATATCTTGTAACTTAAAAATTATTTTTTAAAAATAAAATCTAAGAACCAAAACAAACCAGCCCAAAGCCTCTTGCAATCTGTCTTATTAGTGTGAACCACCAGCAAATCACTGATTTTTCCCGTGTCTTATTATCTTGGAAACACAAGAAACTGTCGATGCTGCCTTAGGCGGTGCACATGGTTAAATCATTCCATTGCACCTCCGAATTCCACACCACGTTAGCCAATCATGGATGCACTTCATGGCCCTAAAAAACAAAATCATGGATGCACTTCAGTGGCGTCCCGTAGGAACAACTATTTTCGAGGAACATGTTTGCTCGTCATTATGGGAATCTTAAGTTACTTGGGCAGCCACAATTCCTAGTCCTAATGCCGAAAAGCCCAAGAATAATTAATCATACCACCGAAATCTCTTTCATTGATGTACTCAAAGACATCGTTATTTAGAATATTAGTACTCTTCGGGGTGAGCAAAATGACAAGCGTCAATGTACGAATTTTGGGACCTTGTGGTCCAGCGAGAATTTAGCGAGGATGTCCCACCCAATCATGAATTGCAGAAATCAAAATAATCTCTGCCAGCCAGACAAGGTGATCTATCACTGATGGTCCACGGGAATGGGTGGAAGGGATGTGAAGCAAAGTGGTGATTCCGTAAGTATGTGTTTGATTCTCAATTTGTGATGAAAATTAATTTGATAAAAGTCAATTTGGTAAAAATTAATTATTGTAATAAAATTTGTGTTTGGATACACTTTTTCAAAAGTAAGTTTGGCAAATTGAAAGTTGTTTGGATTAATAAAAATTTGTGCTTATGAAATATACTTTTTAATATGTAATGACAAAAAAGAACATTGATGTATGATAATTTATAATTTTTATTATACAAATATAATATATTAGAAATGTTTAAAAAATGTGAAACAAATTTAAGATAACATAAAATTTAAAAAAAATATTGATTACTTTAAATTTTAAATTTGAAAAAATAAATAAAATTCTCCTGATTGATATTTCATTTAAATTAATTTTATAACAAATGGACAATAATATTTTATTGTAATTTATACTAATATTTAAAAGGTCCAAAGTTTGAAACCTTCTTAACAATAGGTTGATTTTATTTTATTTTAATAATAAAGAAATTATCAAAGACGCCCTTATCTTTTATGTTGTAAAAAGAAAAATTTTAGGAACTTTTCTGTAATTTTTTCAATTATTTTTTGTTCAGATCTTTTTTTCCTGACGTGACACACACACAAAAGAGAGAATGAGGAAATCTTCTGAAAAGCACATTGAGCGAGCCGAAACGAAAAGACAAAACTGACGAGGGGGTATCATGGTCATTTTAAAATAGTAGGTATCAATAATTAATACATATTGTCTGAATTTACGTTTCAAAAATTATAAATTTGAGGGTGCATTTGGTTTCACTACTTTTGGCATTCAAAAAGTTATTTTTTTACTTTTAGGAAATTAAATGTTGTTTGGGATCTAAAAATCACATAAAACTGACTTTTGAAAAGGATTTCAAAAATGGGCTTGCAACAGAGAAATTCAAAAGCTCAGATTTATAGCTTTTGATATGTAAATTTGAACAACATACATTAATTATTGATACCTACTATTTTAAAATGACCATGATACCTCCCTCATCAGTTTTGTCTTCTCATCTCGGCTTGCTCAGTGTGCTTTTCAAAACATCTTGTCATTCTCTCTTCTATATGTGTGTCAAATCAGGGAAAAAAAATCTAAACAAAAAACAATTGAAAAAGTTACAGAAAAGTTCCCAAATTTTTTTTTTACAACATAAAAGATAAAAGCATCTTTAATAATTTCTTCATTATCAAAACAAAATAAAATCAACTTATTACTAAGAAAATTTCAAACTTTGAACCTTTAAAATATTAGTATAAGTTGCAATAAAATATCATTATCCATTTGTTATAAAATTAATTTAAATGAAATATCAATTAAGAAAATTTTATTTATTTTTTCAAATTTAAAATTTAAAGTAATCAATATTTTTTTAAAATTTTATGATATTTTAAATTTGTTTCACATTTTCTAAACATTTCTAATATATTATATTTGTATAATAAAAATTACAAATTATCATAAATCAACATCCTTTTTAATCATTACATATTAAAAACTACATTTCAAAAGCACAAATTTTTATTAATCCAAACAACTTTCAATTTGTCAAACTGACTTTTAAAAAAATATATCTAAATATAAATTTCGTTACAATCACTGACTTTTATCAAATAAACTTTTATCAAACTAATTTTTGACAAACTAAAAACCAAACATATACTGAGCTTTTGAATTTTTCTATTGCAAGCCCATTCTTAATGTCCTTTTCAAAAGTCATTTTATGTGATTTTTAAATCTCAAACAACATTTAACTTCCTAAAAATAAAAAATAACTTTTTCAATGCCTAAAGCAGTGAAACCAAACACACCCTAAGTTGGGCCAAAAATCCCATTTGCTTGAGAACCGGTCAGCCAATCATAATTTATTCCAGACTTGTGTTGAAAAATTAGGCGCTTCCGAACGGAGGTTGGGTCACAGTGAGATGGAACTGAGGAAGATTCCCTCTTATCCAGCAAATCCGACATGACACTAGGCATCTAAATCCCATAATTCATCTTCTAGAGAAAAATTAACGAGAAATGCAATCACACGGTAAGCACTCCCTGTATCTGAACTCTTCCCAAAGTTGAACGACAATTTATGGCATCTACATGAGGATCCTTTTCTTTTGCTAATCACTTAATTGCAATTGCCAACTTCAGAGTCAATGATGCTAAAACATTTTAATATCATGATAATTTACAAATTAAAAATAGCTACCAACAAGATAAGAGCCATCCTACAATATAGCTGTCAATGTTCAAGGCAGTATTTGGATCGGAGGTTGTCAAGAATCTCTGCATACTCCATTGGAGTTGCCTCGCTACAGAACCTATCATCCCAGAGCTTGCGCAGATCTGTAAATAAGCTAGGTACTCAGTTAAATCATGTTAGCATTGGGTGTAAGTTAAAATGAAGGCATTGCCACTGTCACAAGAAAAATGGGTTAGGATATGGTCATTCTCTTGACTTCTAGCCTCGTAAAAGAAGCACTCATGTTCAATGCAAACTGGAAGGAAGTGTGCAAGTCGGAGTTCAGATAAAATTCAAGTTCATATAATGAGTGTTCATTCCTATGAGACGCTTGTTTCCATTCATTTCTCATCCTTAATATATATTCTAGAACTTCAGTTCTATCAAAACAGATTCTTAAAATGGGGCAATAGTAACTCCTTGAATTTGGCAACTGAGTAATAAACATACCATGCTTATCTGTTGATGTAAGACACATAATGAGCATGTCAAATCTTGAAACCTTGGTCAAGTGCTCTAAGAAACTGACAGCCAGAACCGTGTCTTCACTGCCAAAATAAAATCAAGTTTAGTGAAGCTGAGACACAGTTCAACACGATTGATATAGATTTTATGAGATAACTGCTTACGTGAAAAAGGATGCCACACACTTTATGATGTCCATAAGTATCGCAGAAGACAAGGCACTTTTGAATATCTTTGGTAAGTCTTGAGGAGACATAGCCTAACATATGACATTGGAAAACCATCAGTTTACCGCAAAAAGTAGGATACCACCAAGGATCAAGAATAAGAATACAAGGTAGTTGCTTTAGCTTGATTGAAATTGACACTAAAATTAAAGCAGAAGTGACAAGTGTACAACACTAAATACCTTTAAAAGACGAGCCTTCAGGGCAGGGTCACCTGAAAACCCTCTCCATGAGACCTCAAACTGATAAGCTGAATTTGGCGGTGTTATATTTTTTGCAGCTTCAGCCATGACCCGAGAAGCTACACGTGAAGCAAGATGTTGAACAGATGCCTTCATTTCTTGCTTGTTAATTCCATCATATCTCTGTTGGAGATGCAAAATAATAAGTTAATTAAAATTGATACCATATGTTGCATGCTTGTTCCCTGTTTCTGGAAAAAAAAAAATACAAAAGTGAAAAAGGAAAGAGAAATAAATAAGAGGTCCTAATAAAGTTCTCACATGTTCTGGTAATTTACAAAACACAGAAAAGATCTCAATAGACATAAGACAAAACAAATGCTTCAAGGCAGAACGGTGATATGTCTCAGCAAAAAGATTTTTGATAAGTTTAGGGAGGATTTCACAATAACCATAATACTCCCCACACTTGTCATAGGACTAAAACTCAAAAATTCTTGTCCTCCAGTCCTGCTTTCATCTCTTTTATCCTTGCTATCTACTTCCTCGAACCTGAGCAATGCTCTTGTAGAAACTTTTTTATCATTGCTCTGGAACATAAAATCCTAACTTTAGGCTGGACAAGGATTGTACGCAAAAAAGTGAACATATGACGGTTTACAATCGCCTTAGTCATATTACATCACTTCAGAAGAAGAATAAGGCAACTCTTAACAGGTCATGTTTACTACTAGCATGCTCCCAAAGCTCCAGAATTTCCGATATGGAAAGGCAAAACATACAAGATTAATCAGGACCTAATAATTGATGAACTTAAAAGGTTTAAACAAATTCTGACAGTTTCCTCCCAATATCAATTCATATATTTTCTGACAATAGATAAAAAAACAGGCCAAACACTACAGAATAAGATATCCTCCTGAAAACCAAAAATTTCACAGGCATAAGAACTAAATGAATGCTACAGTCTCGAGCCAATCAATATTGAACGTGAGACAACATTTATTGGAAAATAAAACTCATTTATCTGTAATTATTAATCAAGATTACATATACAATCTGAAGAAAACAAACGCACTACACAAAATGCACATTGTACATTATAGTCACAAAGCAGTTTACCTAACTCAAAGGACGGTGCCAAACTTTGCTCTAGTACAGAAAACCCAAATTATGGGCCACTCACATAACAAAACCCTAGAAGGGTGCGTACTCACTTTCATTTTGCTTCGTTCAGAAACATTCATTTTTTTAATGTTATGATTCAGAGCACACAGAAAAAATAATATTGGTCTGCCCCAAGGAAGAGGAGTGAAGAACCTACAAAGGTCTGCCCCATGTTCACAACTGCAGTTGCCGTCTCTGCTGCTGTGGGTGAGACAGAAAAAAAAGCGAGAAGGAAAGATAGGATACAGAATAACTGATTGGGTTTGAAAATGAGATTTGGAGAGGAGATGCTAATTTTATTTTTTTACAGAAAAAAAATAAAATATTGATATAGTCACAATATAAAAGGAGGGGCAATAGGGGGATTGAGAATATGAAGAGAGGTCATTTGAATTATATATTTGAGTTATGAAATTAAAATTTTATTAAAGCCATAATAATTATTAATTTTTTATGTCATTCAAGTTCAACTATCAAAAATATGAATTATAAGTATGCACTTTCTAGCGTGTCAAATATCAAAATAGGGAACAAAGCCTATTCCCCACACCACAAATTGTATAACCTCAGATATCTGATACCTGTATGCATACCCTTTTTATTTTGGCAAACTAAAAATTAGGCAATAGTCATCTTCAGTGCGATTTAAGCCACAACATAAGGATATATCAGAAAAAAGTCAAAAGCCCTACTTTTTTTTTTTTATGCAAATGAGGGAAAAGAAATTAGAAATTAGGAGTGGGGAAGGAGCAAGCCCATGAACGTTCTTCGGCAGTAAAGTATGGGGGATTGCCACTTGAGGCAAGGCCCTTGGACATCAAAAACTATACTTATTAGTACCTTCGTGTGATCTAGAACGTCAGCAGCCCCAGATTTTTCAGTACCATTCGGAACAGTATGGATGGTTCCCCTATCAATATTTGTCTCTGACTTTCCCACTTTTTGAGTTCCCTGTACAGAGCTTCTCAGAGCTCCAGATGTTTTCTGAAGAATTTCCTGGATAATAGCCAAAAAGCTTCAAGAGTCACTTAGAATGACAAAAGTAGTAAAGACTGAAAATACATATTATTGATTCATTTCAGAAAACAAGTCTTATTCTCATATGTTTAGGGCTGCCAACTTAAGCTCTTGACTGAGACAATATATAATATTGCACGTCATTTCACTTGAGCAATAAAGTCCCTATCAGGCTACACTCTTCAGTCTCCACTAGTCCTTTGCAAAGATATTTATCACATATTAACATAATGGCCTTCTTGGTCTCCTTACACTCCTGCGCCAGTTTTTTACACTATAAAAAACTAAGCCTTCCTGTCTTTGAGCATTTCTCCAATTTCAGGGTCAGGTTACCATGAATATGCATTGACCCAATACTTTGGTGGGCTGACCATTTCATAAGAGGCAGCATTTTGCTAGCCCAGCCCACTTACCTAAGTTTTATAAGGTACCACCTCAGCATAGAATTCATGGTCCACATAGCAATGTAAAACGTCATATTGAGTTTTCAACTTATGTGCTGCAGTCATATTAAGGTCTATTGAGGTGCTTACATTCTCATACAAAGATTTGATATCAGCATACTGTTTCTTGATTTCTTGATTTTCAGGTTCCAAGCGCAAAGCAAATTCAGCATCTGCAGTTTATGCAATAATCAGAGTCATCAAACTCAAATATAAATCAGCAATGCCATACTTTACTAATGGAAAATATCATGCTAGAGTTTAATGTACCCTCCATTGATTCTTTAAGTTTCCCAAGTTCTTTTCTAGCTGTTGCTCGACGTGAGTATGCTTTTATGTAACGATCATCTAGATTTAAGGCCTCTGTACAGTCATCCTCAGCCTGTTGGAATCTACAGACATGTACCAGGGAAATAAGAAATATATTACCTATCATGTAGCAGTGACATTCATGATTATGAGTCAGGTGATGAACCAACTTGCAACACAACCAGAAAGGTAAAAACGTGGCTACTCTTCTGTAATTAAAATGCTAATTGACAAAATTAACCAGTTAAACGATGTTCTAAGCTAAAGGAGATATATTCTAGAAAGATGAAATTTGAATCAATAAACCCTGCCTTCTGAGTTTGATATAGGCCATTGCTTTATTTGCATATGCCACAGCTGTCGGAGAGAAGGCAATACTTCTTGAATAGCAGTCAACAGCTTCCTTAAACTTCTTCTGCTTGAAGTATTCATTACCCTGAGAAATAAAGTTAGATTAAATGATCATCAATATGAATGATAACAATAGTAATATTGAAGAAAAAAGATTTTAGTATATAATGGCTAATACCAGTTCTTTTTCCGAAGCAGCATCGGGAACATCTTCAGTTGTATGACTACCATGGACATGATCAAAAGAATCTTTATTTCTTGAGAAATCATATTGTCCTGAAATACTTTTTGTAAAATCAAATGAAAAAGTTTCTCCTCTTGAAGCTGTCTCCACAGCCACTGATCCAGTATTTTGAGAAGATGAACCCTTTGTAAATTCCCATCAGAATATTAAGCATCATTTTGCTCAAATACATGAAAGCATCCATAAGAAAAGAATTACATATAGATGTACGGATGCCCAAGGAGACTACATGTTTCTTTTCTCTTAGCATTTATGAGAGGTGATAATATATGAAGCATTAGAAACAAGAGGAAAACCAATTAATGAAACTATAATTCCCGTATTCAGCAAACCAGTAATTGGCTACTGATAATATGCTTATATGACAAGTGGACTGTTTTCTGCCTAGTTCTCCGAAATAAACATTCTGGCACAAAATACTAAACTAATTGTTGCTCCAGACTCTCGACATACGGAATGGAAGAAATTTGATTCCAAGTTAAAAACAATACATTTAAAGACAGCAAATTTGATACTGCCAAAAAAAAAAAAACAGAGAGACAGCAAATTTGAAGTGGAGGCTAGGTAAATACAGTAAGTTCATTGAAGACATAACATCTGATTTCCTGTTCAACTCTACTCAACAGCACAGGCATAAGTTGATTGAAAAGTGAAGACAGAAATGCAGGAGAATGATCATATAGTCCGGTAAGGAAATATTTCGATTGCTGGTTTACGTTCACGTAAAAATTCTGAGAACAACTCGCTACTTTTCTGACATAAGAAAAAAAATTACCAACTTTTTCCTTTTGCAGCGCTTGTGACGTCATTTTCCGCGCTTTGTCCTTCCGAGAAAGTTCCCAATCCTGCAAGTCACTTAAGAATCCCTGGAAATCCTGCAAAAGTAAGAAAAAGAAAAGCGACGCCTGATCACGGTGGAGAGAATTGAATGTTAAAATGAAAGGTGAAATCGCGTGCAATGCAGCATAACCAACAGAACATGGCGAGGTGAGGTAAATAAAATACCATGGTCAGGTAGTGACGAAATTCAGCAGAGAAAAATAGGAGGAAGAGATGAAAATAGTACAGTAAGATACAATGATACAACGCCGATGGCATCGACGAACCACGGGCGTCTATTGAGAAAAGGAAACTATCAAAGTGGATAGAGAGGGGTGGCCGGATTGTGAATCGAGACTTTACCATGAACGAAACGGAGGCACCAGCTCTCGAATTCGATGCATCTGGCACCGTCGACCGGAACGGATTGTTTTATTTTGACATTTTTCATTTTGTCATAAAGTCATAAATTGAGAGGGTTGGAACTCGGACAGAACCTTCAAGATAGTTTCGCGTTGGCCGGGCCGGGCCGGTTTTTCCCAATGAAAGGATGTGATAATAATGCTGAAATTAAAAATTCATTTAACAAAAGTTTGTTATTACAATAAAACTAGTTAATTACTTATATGTTGCATAAGATGTTAGTTTTGTAATTTCTTATAGTTATTAAATAGTGGTAAATTATACATATTAAGTAGTAGTAGGTCTAAAACAATAATAAAAATAACTACTTAATAAATAACTAATATTTAAGAATGACAATGCAAAAAAATTGTGGTGTTAATATGATAAATAAATTTTAAAAACTTATATGACAATAGATCCAACAACCTTTTATAGTGAATAAAAAATATAAATAATTTGTAAAAATAGATTGGGAATAAATGCAATCATTTGTTACATCAAATAAAGAATGAACAAAGTTAAACAAAATAAAAAGTATAGCACTTTAATGGTGCCATATATTAGTTAAATTATTGAAAATCTCTCTAGAGACTACTTTTTTAACAACGTTTTGTATCAAGAATTGATATTTTCAACCCTTTCTTACCCTATACTCAAGATACAGCAGCGCATAACTATCCAATTGACCATATGTGTTGAACACATGTACTTCAAGCCTTCATCATTCATGTCATTGCCATCCATATATTTAAATTTAATATTAATGTCGAGATGTCTCACCCGTCCCAAATAAAATTTTGTATTGTCTTGATTTTTTTAAGAAAAAATGCGGGCCTTGGATTTTTAAAATCAAGATTAAAATATACTTTGAAGATTATTTTAAAATATTTACATCTTAAAAATATGACAATATGAATCTTTTAAATTTTTTTAAGAAAACATGTATAACAATACACTCAAATATATATAATCTATGAGTACAAAATGAACTAAGTTTTAAGAAATTAATTAATATTTAGTATGAATATGTGTTACACCCTCAATTAAAAAATATAAAATATTTTTAACCAAATTTTATCCTAATAAAGTAGTTAATTATTTTTAAACTAACATCATTTTTTCATATTTATCTTTATTTAATAGGATATTTTATTTTAAAATAAATATTAATTGATTTATTTATTATAGACACTTTTAAAAAACACATTAATTATATTTAAAATACTAAAAATGCTTTACTTTTTTAACAGAAGGAATATATATTTTGGCCATATTTTTTTAGGTTAAGTTAAAAAAATTCAATCTTCCTAAATTTAACTTTAAAATTTTTCAAGCTTATTTGAGTTGAGATTGGAATCACACTAATATTATCCCAAATAATATTATCTAATTATGCCATTAATTTTGCCTATATTAGTGCATTAGTATGATATAATAAATGCTTAATGCATTTAATGCAATGACACTATAAATTACCATGATATACACTCTTTATTTTCAAATGTAGGAAAAAAAATAACTGCATTACACAGTTTAAAAAAACAGTTAACAATAATAATTGTGTCTAAAAATAAAAAAATTAAATTAAAATACTATGTATTAATTAACATAACACTGCAATAATTTTTTCTTGTGACAATAAATTGTTAGTTCATGAGAGGGTAAATTAAAAAATTTGTAATAAATGTCTATTAAGTAATGCATTTTTGTTTATATGAAAAAAACAAAACAATATGACAGTTTCTCCTGAGGGAGTACTACTTATCTTTTAATCAAGTCAGTACTGCTTATGTTTCTGCTTATGTTTTAATTAAGTACGTGGTAGTTTAATTATTTTATTACGTTCTTTGTTATCCAACATTATAAAAAATGTAAACCATTTACGATGAAGAATTTATATATAGTTTAATTTATAAATAAATTAATATTATTTTATTTTAATTCTTTTTATGTCCAAATTCAATTTTTACCTAAAAAAATTAAGTATTTTTAATGACATAACATTACAATGAACCTTTTTTTCTATCCTTATTAAAATGAGACCAAGAATTAAAAAAATAAGAATGAAAGCATGTTATGTAATTTATTGTATTTATTTTTCCTCAGGAAAACTAAATGTGTGAGTTGAAAATCTATGAAAGAGTATCTATAGGTTAAATAAAGGTTAAAATGAAGGTTAATTTTATTTTATTAATTATTAAAAGAATTCAGATATTTAGACTAAGTTCGTTCAGGTTTGATCCAAATAAGCTCGAAGTTAAGTGAATTTTTTAAAGTCTCAGTCTTGACCCTGAAATTTTTTAAGTTTATTCAAGTTAGCCTGTAAAATTTGATTCAAATTATCAGCTCTAATTGTCAACCCCTGATCAATATATTCTCTTGAATAAATTCCCATATGTTTATTTTAAATTATTTTAAAAATTTTGATTACTTGATTATGTCAAAGCATATAATGAGACAACATTTTTATTGAATCACAACATAAAATCTTCATCTTATCCCTCACACTATTTTATTTTCAGTTGAACCCCTTAACAATCATCATAAAAATAAATATTCTTAAATATTCTAAAAATTTGAGATTTAGTATTTTTTAAATATTGTATGACAAAATATATTATAATCACTCAATTAAATTAAACAGTCGTTATAATATCGCATAAGATACTTATTAAGTGAGAAGATTTAGACCAATCAATGGATTAAATTATATAATTGACTGGTGTGATGTGGCTTAAATTATCATTTTTGGGAGCATAATTTATTTTCAATATTGCTAACTTAATTTAGGATGAATTTGGGCAAGTCAATTTTAAGCGTGCCATTATTAAAGGGATTCAAGTAATGCATTTTTTTTCTTGAATATTTTCTCTATTTAGTTATTTAAGTTATATATATATATATGTATTATGTTAGCAATATTAAGAAAATAGTTTTGTAGTGAATTATTGCAAGAAGTTAATGATAAACTACAATTTATTATATGATATTTGTAATTTATAGGTTATATAATAATTATTAAGAAATTTACTTTCAGGAAATTATTTCTAAAATAGTTGCATGGATATTCATAGAAATCAATAAGAATCCAAAAACAATTTACCCAAAATATTTGCAATTTATTCACAAAATAAAATCAGTATTATTTGTCATTAGATATGTACAATTTATTCATGAATTTTAAATTTGGATCCACTCTTATTAAAATTTATTTTAAAAAATATTGATGTAATTTAAAATCAATGTGATTGATTTTTATGAGATGCTTATTTTTCGGTTCTTGTAAAGTGAAGGAAAAATTAATAAAATTTAAAAAGAATTACATATAAGTTCCCATAAAAACAACTTATTGAAAAATAAGTTTCATGAAATTTAGAAACTACATGCATGTCTCTTAGGGCCTGAATGTAAGTGAATTAAGAAGTTCTATTGATTATAAAATATAAAATAAGATTTGCGAATTAAAATATTCTACTCATAAATTATGAATTTATAGTTGTGAGTGGATGGTAAATATAATTTCAATCTACTGATTACAAAGCACGAAATATATACAACTTGTGAGTTAAGAAATTTTACTGATAAATTATAAAGTTATAGTTGTAAATAAATTGTAAATACAATTTCAATGTAATATTTATAAAACACGAAATAGAATTTGTGAACCATAAAGTTTTGCTTGTAAATTTTAAAGTTACAATTATAAATAAATAATATATGTAATTTTAGTCTAGTATTTATAAAATATGAAATAAAACTTGTAAATTAAGAAATTTTATTCTTAGATTCTGAAGTTATAGTTTTAAATGGATGGTAAATACAATTTTAACTTGCTCCTAAATGAACTGGCCATCCACGTGGCAAGAAAGGAGAAAAAGGTGCGTGACGACATATGCGCTTGCGTACTCTGATTTTACATAGATATAGAAAGATGACTTATGCCACTTTATTGTGCTATCAAGTTAACTCAACAAACACCTCCAAATTCAAATGATTTTTTTTACCAATCAAAATGCCAGATCAACATTCTACATATAAATTAGATACACCAATATGATTTCAAATATAAATAATATAATCTTGGGTCCAATCTCATTAATCATTTTTTGCTCCTGACACAATAAAATGGGGCAATCAATTTTTACCATTTTATCGTGCCCATTGACAGTTTTTTTTTTGTTTGTAAAAATTGAATCATGAATATTAAAATAATTCAAATGCAACAATTTAGATTCTTAATTTGAAATGTCAAATTAATTAATTTTTCTATGTTGGAGAATTAATTAATTTTACTATGCCCAACAACAATTTTTTCAAAGTCTTGATTTGAAATGCAATCTCCAATATTAAATTCATGTGCAGCTTTAATGACTTAGTTAATTTTTTAATGCTGGAGAATTAAATTTGTTTTGAGTTGTTGAGGAGATTTAATTTTTTAATGCTGGAGAATTAAATTTGTTTTTGGTTGTTGAGGAGATTTTTTTTTTTTGTCATGAATTGTTGAGAAGAATCAATGCATATAATATACGATAGAGTAACAAAACGAAATTAACATATATAATACTATATTCAAGACTGAAAGGGATATTTCAATCAAACGGAACTATGTTGATGACGGAGGGGCCTTCTGCCCCAAGTCTCACCTCTTTCCTTAATACACGCCCATGCACATTTAAAACACCAACCATGAATTATATAAAAAGAAAAATATCAACACCCACTTTTCATTTGATTCATGCTTGCATGTTATACATACATATATGTATATGTATATGTACATGTATTTGCCTCTTATCAAATTGTGAATATAAGTTTAAATATTAAGAATTTTCTTTATTAGCATTTAATTAATTAGTTTAAAATTACTTAAATTAATAATATTTATTAAATTACAAAACTTGGACTCCCTCAAATCTATAGTCCTGTCTTACCCTCGGTCTCGGTATTAAACAATTCTGATTTATGGAGGCTATGGCAAGGTATGACACCAATGCAATTAATTGTAAGATTTATCTACTGTTCTAATATATGCTATAATCAATTTCATTTGAATCTTGATTTGAAATGTCAACTTTCAATTAGTTATGATTTTTGAATCTTGAAAATTTCTCTTTACCGTCACTAATTTTAAGTAATTAATGTCATTTACTGATTTAAATTAAATAAGAGTCAAACGAAATTTCTTCCTTTTGAAATTAAGAGTTATAAACATTATTCTAGTTTTTATACAGAATAGGCAAATTTATTCATCCACATGGTTCAAAAATGAGAAATTCATGGATTATACGTGTCAAGCATAATATTTCTTGATTTAAGGTCATTTGATGCAATAGAATATTATACTAAGAGATTGATATGAAATCGAAATTAATATGTAATTATATTTTCAATAAATTAAAAATCAAATCTTGAAATTAATGCTTTGCATACTTATATTAAATGTATGCATTGTATTTTCATGTGTCATGACTAGAGGAATATAGAAAGCTAATGTGGCTTCATAATATGTTGGGAAGTTAAAGAGTTTCCAACACTTAATTTGGAGAGCTTGCAGTGACACTCAACACTTCATTTATGAAAAGTTATGAGATTTTTGAATCAATATTCAATTTGCCTCACAGATCAAAGCATTTCTTGTAATCTGGATAAGTGGGTTTTTAGGCCATCTTAATAACATCACATGTATAAATAAAAATTTAAAACCACGCCAAATTACCCATACATTCATATCATTTACAAATGAATTTAAGTTGGGAACTGTCACTATTGATCTAACTTTTCACAAAACCTTATACATCTTCACCACCTGCAACTTGATAGATAGAGAGTAGTAACCTTGCTCTAACTCTAAGAGGAGCTTAACATTGGTGCAGTAGCCCATCCGTGAATTCTTTCAAAAGCAAAAATGCACCAACTTGGGTTAAGTTGAAAGGGGGCATTGGAAAATTGCGTCAAATTTCAATATAAGAATTCTTTGCTTTATGAACTTAAATTATTATTTTTTTTTTTGCCATCAAACTAAATGACCTATATAGTATATATTGACCATAAACATTTTTGGTAATCATGAAATCAGATCTTTCTCCATTCTTAATATAAATAATTGTGGAGGAAATTGCTTTTAGTTAGGCCAGACAGAATTTAATTAAATTAGATAGTCATGTGTAAAAAAGATAGGAAAAATCACTTCAAAGTCCTCCACAATAACTGCAATTATATTAAAGACCTACCAATTATTGAAATTACTTTGTAGTCCAAAGATCCTAAACTATAAATAACTATTCAAAAGAATGACCCTTTTGCCCTCCTCTTAAGGTACATGCTGCCATTACAATCTTTTCCACAATAATCTTAAATTAAACCTTTCTCAGTTCTCCCCGAGCCGAAGCCTCAAGGAATGACGTGGTGTGAGAACACAGGATTTGATTTATGTTGAACGAGTATTTTTGTTGAACACCTTCTTGGCAATATCACGTTTCCCAAGTTTCATAATGCTTTTGATTATCAAATTCATTGAACAAATCGATGAATGAACATAAACCCAACCTACAACTTGATGGGTAATATGATTATATTGCAACGAAGATGTGCATACGTCAAAATTGAAGATGCCACAAGAAATGGGTGGGTTCCATATCCAAGCTTCGAGAACTTGATAGAGAACCTTGTGATCGTCTGAGATATGTTCAAACCAAGAAGAAGATTTTTTTGAAAGGGATTTTCTTTCAGAAATTTATAGGGGAGGACTGAACACGAAGATTTCTGGAAGTACAAGGAGCAAGGGAAAAAAACCAGTGAGGAAATTGCGTGAATCAGACGGGGATAAGAAATCTTCCATCGGCCCAGTTTTGGCTCCATTATACACCAACTTGCAAGAGTTTTTAAAAAACAAAAAAAATTGCATCTGGTTCACCGATGTTAGATTAGATTGTATAAATAGCCCAATGCACATGGTGGGTGAATTCATGGAGCTTCCAATTTTGGGTATTGAGATTATTCAAAAACATATTCAATTCGGCAGACATTAAATGAACTCCTCGATTAACGGCAATAAGGCAACTTATTTTCGAAGTTTCGTACAAAATCCACGTTTATATAAAAAATTATATGCGAATTATTATCTGTAATGGAAATCACAGTGCATGTTGCAATATATAAAGAAATAAGCAGGGCAAGTCAATGGGCCACACACAATATTTGTGATGTTTTTTCTTTTGGGCTACAGTTTTTAACACTGCAATCAATTAGGAAATATCCTCACAAAACGGATTCAGTAATCGTGATCATAATTATGTTGCAATCAAATGGACCCATGCATTTAATATGCCCACAAATTTATCTCATAATTATAATTTTCATAAATTCGAGTTGATTATCAAATGTGGAAATTATTCATGACCATAATTATCATTGAGAAAATATTCGGCATGTGCACATGTGTCACACAAAGGAGAAAAAGGAGAAGCTAATGTCGCTTCATAATATGCCGACAAGTGTGCTCAGGACTCCTAATTATATATATATAGATTTGTATTTAGATAAGCTTTTTTAAAAATCAATTAAAATAAATAAGTATATACTTTTAAAGTAAGAAAATTCACTAAAAACACATTCAACCATGTCACCTGAAAATGAATTTAGAAGAGAAACAACCTCTAGACTCAAATTCTATTTTTAAAGTTCTTTGAAACCAAACGGCCCTTAGAGGTTTAGAGTAGTTGTTTATTTGTTTGTAATGGTTGTTGACTTTTATCTTTTTCATTCAAAAAAAAAAAATTGCAAGATCAACTTGCCTTGAGTGTTGGCAAAAAAAAAAAAAAAAAAAGCTGCCCTGGCTCATTGGGCCTGAAAACTTAAAGAAGAGTTAAAAATTGAAAAAATTTACATGTAAATCTTATATAATGAAATTAATTATTAAGAAATTTTATAAAATTCATAAAATATTTTCAAATTTCAAATCATGTATATTTTTAACTTGATTAAGGGTATTGATAAGTAAGTTATAAATGACCGTTGCTCAATTTTAATACTTTTTAATCAAGTTGTAAATGTATAGAATTTGAGATTTGAAAATATTTTGTGAATTTGATGAGATCTCTTAATAATAAATATTTTTTTTTGAAGAATTTAGATGTAATTTTTGCTTAAATATTTTCTGGGCCGACATGAAAGCGCTGAAATTAGTCATCATAGGTTTCATGACTCCATAAATCTCGCCAATCACTATTTCACAATTGGCTACATAATTCAAGATCAAAGTCTAAACTATACTTGTTCAAATTAAATTAAAAAAATGATGCAACTTGTAATCCTTTATGTTTGAGGGTTTTATCAATTTAGTTCTTCAACTTTAATTTCTATTATTTCAATCCTTAATATTTATTTTTTTATCAAATTAGTCGTTTAAGTTTTACAAGATAAATTAGACATGTAAATTATATTATTGAGGTAGAATATATATGTGGATCAATTAAAACACATAAAACAAATTGATTTTATTTTTATAATTTCTAATTTGCCATTCTAATTGTATATTAGGGTATTTTTAGAAGTTTCAGACCTAATGACTTGTGGACAATGGCTTTAGAAGAAGGACTTGTGAGTCTGAAAGCACAAGAAATTGAGGACAACACTGCAGTGGGAGATTGCGAGCTTGAGGTGGGACTGAACCTTGTGACGGTAAAGGACAAACTGAACAGATACAATTATAAAGAATGGAAATAAAAACGGTATAACGGTCAAAGGCTCAGGGAAATGACGGTATAAAAATTTGGTAACTCCTCTCCATCGTCTTACTAAAGACAATTCCCAATTACTGAAGAACAAGAATGTGACCACGGCGAGACCGATGATTTCCTTCTCCCTTGTGCACTAGCAGCCTTCTTGCTCTGTCTCCTCATTGCTTTCTTTCAACTAGGCAACGCACTGTTCACAATCACGTGGTTTTTTTTTTTCCTGCACTAAAGTAGTTAATTTTATTTTTTTTAATCCAACTCAGCATCATTGCTTCTCATCTTATTAATCTACATGATTGCCACATCATTACTTTATTAGCCTTGTTTTCCAAATCTAATGGCGTTAATTTTTATCAAAAAATTAAGGATTGTTTAAATAAATTTATAAAATGTTAAGGACTAAAATAATCAAAATTAAAATTGAGGGATTAAATCAATAAAACTCTCAATCGAAAGGATTACAGGTTGTATTATCTCTTAAAAAAAAAAAAGTAAACTTCCATAAATGCTGAACCGCATTCCTTTCAAACGGCTGCGTAATTTTATTTCTCGCAAATTATCACACTCAATGCTTCGCACCGAAGCTTTTAGCTCAACTCAATACAGTAGCAAAGTCGACTCCGAACAATCTCTTCGACTGATCAATAAACTAAGGAAGATGCGGTGAGAAAAAAGGAAAAAGGGGGGGGGGGTTTTAAAGACAGCATTAACAGAGGAAAAGGAAAACAGGCGTAAGTGTTACTGAGGAATCGTTGAAAGTTGAGGGATTGAAGAATCAACACTTGGGAAGATCCGCGGGCGGTGGAGGTAGCTTCTGGTTCGGCTGCTTTCCATCCAGCACAATCCATGCCATCTTCAACCCCCAGCTCAGGTGCACTTCGAAATGGCAGTGCATAAACCACACTCCTATTCATTCGCATCACAATTTATTAAAGCGCAAGTAAAATGAAACCAGCATCCACATAATATGGTAGCAGTGCGACTAATTACTCAAATGAGTAGTGTAATATACACTGACCTGGATTATCTGCAAAGAAACGAATAGCTACCCACCCACCAGATGGCACGGCCACAGTGTTCCTTTCCACTGGGTCCACAAGATTATAGTTAGCCGGGTGTTTCTTGGGATCGAAGTTACCAAAACCCTGCCCGACCACATAGAAGTTATATCCGTGAAGATGGAGCGGGTGACTCTCGGCCCCAAGAATACTTGTGTCCTGCATGACTAATTCCACACTCGTGTTGAACGGAAGCACCACCACTTTGGTCCCGTTCATCACCATTGTGTTGTTGGGTGGGGTGCCAGTGTAATTAAAAGGGATCAGCGGACGGCTGGGGAAATCAGTGGTGAAAAACCCATTTGATTTCCTGGAATAATAGGACTGCAGGATTGCGGTAGAGGGCATGGCAAAAGATATGTTGTTCACGGAAGCGGCGAACTTGGTACCATTCGGGCCTTGGCAGGTCTGGTTTTTAGGACAAGGGCTGCTTCCAAGGCCCACGGTGAAGAAAAAGCTCTTCTCCACCGTTTGAGGGACTTGTGGCTTGGCTAAGCTGCGGAATTTAGCACTGAAATTGGCAGCATAAGAAGTGTCGTTAATGGCAGGGAGGGCTGGTCTGATCAGAGGAGAGGATTTTGATGTCCCTTCGTACTCGAGAACACCTGCGGTGGTGGTATTATCGAAAGTTCCGAGGCCGGCGGTGCTATAAGGTCTGGCTGCCATAAGGAAACGAACATTTGGTTGGTTTTGTTTGGTTTTCAGGACAACATTTGTGGTCTGCCCTGGGCCTATGAGCAGTATGTCGGCTTTAAAAGGTTTCACGTACAGTGCATCGGCTTCCACAATCGTGAGGCTGTGATTTGCTATACTGAAAAATAGCTCGTCGTTGAGTGCAGCGCTGATCAGTCGGAGGAGGTATGTTTTCCCTGGCTTCACCTTCAGCTTGAAGGTTTCTGTAATAAAAAAACACGAGTGTTTTACTTCTCAGCTAAAATAAGAATTTTGGTGGCAAGTATTTTTACTATTTTACACCTATATACAAGTACCTTTCTGAGAGCAACTGTACAGTGGGCCAGGACGTCCGTTCAGGGTGTATGCATCAGACACGTTAGGCCCCCCACCATTTTGAAGAGCCTGGCTTATTACTGCCTCCGTATCTGCATTCCACCACTCACCTGCGATAGAAAAACGAAAGAAGCTCTTAATTAGCATCAAGAAAGGAGGAAAAAAGTTGAGTCAGTATCTGTAAAGATGTCGTATATAATATGTAGCTCAAATATTTGTACCGAACAGGATGGGAATTTCCTTGTATGGCTTGGCAAAAGGGTAAGAAACTCCTGGTTTGGGAAGGACGATAATGGGTCCATAAAGGGTGGCTCTGAGCCATGAGATGTGAGCATGCCAAAATAAAGTACCCCTTTGGCCAACTATCGTGAAGTTGTAAACGTAGCTCTGGCCCGTTTGGATTGGACACTGAGTTATGTATGCTGGTCCATCTGCCCACTGGCTTTGAAGTTGTCGAATCCCGTGCCTGTCACCAGCATGGAAACAGTAGTCAAAGCATGCATGTTGATCAGGATCATTTCAAGTTTGTGTTAACTGTGTTATTATGTGTGTGTGCGCGTGCCTGTGCGCGCTTTACCAGTGGATGCTAACATTGTATTGAACATGATTGACCACTGTAACCACTACTCGGTCCCCCTCTCTAGCAATGATAGGAGGCCCAGGGAACTTGCCATTCACCGTTACCATACTCTTCGTGTGGCACAACCGTGTAACGTTCTGCATCCTTACCTGTTAGTTTTGAACACCAGACCAGATGATGTCAAGATCTACTGTGTGTAAGGAAATGTATGGGTATTGTTAAATCATCATGCTAAAAATGCCTGCTCGAGATTAAGAAACATACATCGAACGTGTAGTGTCTTGTTCTTGGTCCATGCTTTGCATCCGCAATGCCGGGGAAGAAGCTAAGGGAGCTGATAGCCAGAAGAAAAGCTCCTAAATAATATGTAGCCGGCTGACAAATCAAAGCGCCCATATTTGGAACACTCTGATACGGAAAAGAGCTACTGGAGTACAGCTACGAATTAATTACTCGAAGTGGAGTGCCTCGTCAGAGCCAGACTTTGCTTCTTATACTGAATCAAAAGTCCATGTTCAGTCGATTAGGTAACTGTAGGCTTCAAAAAAGTACGAGGGGACCCAGTTAACCCCAACTAGAGTGGTGTGAAAGTCAATTTAATTGGGCCTTGATCTCTTCTCTGATTGGGACAATCATTTTCCTAATCCGATCAAATCATTTTCACTGTCCATTCCCAAAATGATCTCTAGATTAAGTTTGCTAAACTGGAATCAAATGTTCTGTACCTACAGCTAACCGATTTATGTACACCACCTACCAAGTACGAATAAGTTTTATCTCGGCGTCGTGTTCATGACAATCCAATCAAATGTTCGCGCCCACACACATGAATTTTGATTCACAAGTGAGAGCCTGATTAATGTGATTGTACCAGCACTGTTAGGGGTGCTTATTATATGCGTCGAAGATCATATTTAATATTTACTGTTAAGATTATATATGTGGATATGTTAGCGGTTGGCGGTGGCGTCTCTTGCAGCCAGACAGTTTCAACTGTCAACCCAAAGGCAAGAAGAAGACGACATTTGACCCACCTTTCTTTCAAGCGATAAAAGGAATGATAGCGATAACGTTAGTTTGCCATGATCTGTTGCTATCGATAAAACTACATAGAGAAAGAAGTTACCAATGAAGCCGGAGTAACTTAATTACCATTGGCTAGCTTCGTGATTTATTGAATTTAATTACCTCACATTTCAAAGGAGAGAGGGACTTGGAATTCATCGTGGAAGTGTCAGATTGTATGGAGATTATCATGAAGAATTCAGCTTAGTTATTCTTCGACTACGAGCACCCGAAGATGATTAACGCGTGTTTCTCCTGTAGCTCTTAACCAATTAATTAATTAGCTAGTCTTTCCGTATTTCATACATAATAAACCATGTTTGGTACGCTATCTGGCTGCAGTTGACGTGTTAATCTCATTTGAGGCATAATCACAACTAGATATATGTTGAATTATTGATCATAAGGTTTCATGATATGAGGTTGATTTGAGCGTAAAGGAAGTATGCTGCTTCTTATTCTCCCCTTACTCTCACTGTTAGCAAACTTGGTTAGAATTGAACTTTTATCAATTTTGGGCACTGAATGTCATATACGGCTAAATATCACGAACAAAAAAGAATGTCATAGAGAGACGCACTTTAATCTCCATAACGTGCATCGGTGCATGAAAAATGAAAATCACGGTCTTTGGAAATATACATATCTTTCACAAATGGTATTTGCAGGACCTATGAAAACCTTGCTCTGTGAGTGATATTAGGAATGAGGACTTAAAATTCATAGTAAAACGAAGAAGGGTAACGAAGTTCCTTCTTTAGAGTTAGATTAGAGTATACGGAAGATAGAAGCTGCGAGAACGGGTCTGCCAAGAGAGCAGCATCACGCTCCTTTCTGCTTTACCGTGGGCCAACGTTGCTTGAGCAAAACCCTGCCATTTTTGGCAAGCTCTCCCGTCCATACCGCTTCTCAGCCGCTAAAAATTAAAGTTCATATCCTTATCATTTGATTCAAATGCTTGTTAACTTGTTAGGTCCAATCCTGTTATCGAAGTATATGAACTAGTTAGCAGCTGAATTCCTAATTAATAACATGATAATGATGGTCAAAAAGTGTTTTCCGCCCCTACCAATTTGACTTCAAAATAATTGTAGATGTAGATATTATTTCAGGTGGAGTGGAGAGGCAAACAAGCGAAGAAGGCCGTGGGAGTGGAGTCGTCTTGTCAACCTGACCTTTTTCAAGATTTCCCACCTCTTCTCTGCACGATTAGTCGATTACTGGCCATTCAACCAGCTAATTACGCGTCCAATTCTCCTCCTCTCTTCTCTTCAATGAAGCATTGGCATATTTCACGTGAAAATATTGCCAGATGCAGTACAATGTTATGATCCGTGGCTTCCCATCAATGGCTAGTGTATTTAATTTCATTTATTGCTACAATGCTACGTACGTTCTTGCTCAATAGCATCATCGGTTTCTTCATAACGCTCATTGAAGTATGAAGCATTGGGGAAAAAATATTGAATCAACAAATGCTTTACAAAATGTATGTACATGTTTGGACCTACGAAGATGTCATGTCCAATCTGATTTTGTACGGCGCATTTTACACATTACAATCAAAGCCATGTAATCTATCCATACCGTAGCGTGATCATGTGGAAGGAAAAAGCATCAGGCTTCTCCCACCTGATGAATAATCGCCCACATTCTTAAATACATTACTTCATATCTATTTTGGCTTTTGCGCTTGTCACTTGACCTTTGAATCAATCGGGGCAGCTAACGCAACAAGCAACTGCAAACAGAAAATGCATTGCGTATGATTAGGATATAAAGCTTGACATAGAAATTATGGTAGGAAAATCAGTTAAAAATAAAATGAAATGGATAACTTACAAAATTATCAAAACTGAGGATCATAAGAAAAAAGGTTTTTCTGTTCATCTGTTGGATTAAACAACCATCTGCAAAACATCCATGCTGCCCCAACCACGGATAGAAGAGACAACATTGCCAAAAACCCAAAATGAGAAGGGTCATTTGCAATTATGGCGACTCCCAGCATTATAGACTCTGCCAAACTAGCAACAGCAACCTCTGTTGTCCCTATGAGATTTGCTTTGGATGATGGGATCCCCGTCTGAATAATCTGAGCACCAACAACATCATATGACATGTGTCCTAACCGGGACAACATCTGCATGCAGAGGAACATAAAAAATGCTTGGTTAACAAAATATTGCAACTTAATTTAGCAGAGAGCTTCTCTCGGTGAAAAATAAAACATTGAAATAGAGACAACTTGACACTGCTCCAATTCTTGCTTGCCAACAATTGCACATACCATTTCGAATTGAGAATTCAGAGGCTCTGATTAGAGTTAAGGTTTCATTAGAACTAACTACATTTCTTATTACAGTTTACGAAACTATTTCAGTATATACTGAACTTGGATCTCCATCAAATCAACTATATCCACTTGCCTCTTGAGCTGCAGCAAGCCTCCCTGTTTATAGGTTTTAACATGAATGACTGGTGGCATAATAAAATTACTAAAACAACTTACAACCAGGGACAAGAAGAAAAAAAGTGGGTTTTGTTGGGAAATCGATCCACTCCAATATACAGCTACAGCCATGCTGAGAAGTAAAGCTTGAAACACCAACCCAACTGCCCCAGCCTGGATAAGAGAGCCTTCTTTTATTTTATTTTAAGAAAACAAATTGCATGCATATTAAGCTCCCATACTTGATTATCTAGTAAAAAGAAGCTGAAGAAGCAACCTTTAAAATGCCAAATTGTTTGACCAGAGTTGAAGACACAAATGTCGCAGCAACGCCCATAAAAGCACACAATCCACTGAATCCTCCAATGATAAAGGGATGTAATCCTGTTGAAGAATCAAGTAATATGTTGGTTTAAAAAAGAAGGGGTGCCCCCCCAAAAAAAAAAAAAAAAAGAAAGTAAAAAAGGAAAAAGTCAAAAGCAAGGAAATGGAAGAAAGCCTGAAAAATATAGAATGAGATTACAAAGATAGGAGATATTACACAAACAACCATTAAACACTCCTTCTTTCTCTTCTTCTGCCTTATCTCTATAGCACAAAGTATAAACAAGAACATTTGAAAAACAATTCATACTAAAAAAATCGATCAATAAGATACTATAAACAAGCTTGGAAAAGCAACATATATGCACTTGATGAGCTAGTTCTTGTCACAACTCTCTACAAGTTATGGATCTTATAACCAGAGATGGTACTTTAGAAAACGGGGTATATACTTTGTCAGTTTTAACGAATACGTGTCAATAACTCTTTTTAGGGTTTGTTCACAAAAGTTATCAGAAAGGTAATTTCTTTGTCACTTATGAGAGACAGACATCAATTCTTAAAAAACTTGAATTTCAATGTTTCACTCTTTTCTGCACTGCAAGATTTGGTCTGTCAGAACTCAGATGTGAAAGACTTGTACAAAGAAAGAGTTTGATGAAGGTAATTTTCCATACCACGCTGTGTTAAAAATGCTGTCATCAAACTTCCTGGTCCAAGAACCACATTGAAGTATAGGAGCACCCACGCAAGACTTGCTGGAAGGACTGGCTGGCCAAGATATTCCTTCCAGCCAAGCTTTATGGCTTCTACACCTTTAACCACTGGTTTTCCAGGAGACAATTAAAAAAAAATTTGATAAAATCAAATGATAAGATGATTCAGCAAAGAAAATATTCTATTGTTTTTTGGTAATAGAACAAAAAATTATCACTATAAATGATACCTATATTGTAAGCATGTGGCCCAGAATCTTCAGTGAATACTCTGCAACAAGTTTGTGAGGATTTAGACCGGTCAAGAACACCAGTTGAGAGTTTGTTCGCCAACCATGTTAGTGCGATCTGTAAATTTAGAACGGAGGGTGAAAACAAATCAATCTTCCAGCCAATAGAAGTAGTGATAGAAGAAATAAGGCAAAGAAATTACTGTAACAGGAAGTAATCCCATCATTAAGCCAGCAGCAAATTTCAAGCAGGTTACTGGGTGAAATTTTGATAGGAGAGCTCCAAAAAGTGATGACCCAACTATCTGTAAATTCACAATTCATTAATCTCCAGGTCAGAGCTCCTAAAAGTGATGCGAAACAGCTACTGCACATTTCTCTCCGCAGAAAAACTGATTCAATACTCTGAGAAGTGAGAACTTGTAATTATATAACCTGCCTTATCAACTTAGAATGAAAATATGGATAGCTATCAAATACCTCACACATGAGATCAATTCGATTTAGTACTGCATTTGCCTGTGCAAGTGCAATTGGCCTATTCACCCCTGCCAGCTGTCAAAAGAAACCATGGTGAGGATTAGAGCAATATTGTTTTAACAGAATGTTAAGTCAGAAAAAAGGTAATGAGGGAAGCTCTTAATAAAACTACCAATACAACCCAGTCACGTTCATTTGCAACCCCCACTGCAACACCACATAGCCTTTCGATAGCCCCAGCTGAAACTAACATGACATACCATGGACATAAAAGCATGGAAGTCACAGAGGTAGGACGAACAGAATGGGCATGAATGATCATTGTCGCAGACAGCAACTGTGCAGCTGCCTGGCAACAGCAAAAATGATAAAAATGATTTATTTATTTTTTGAATTGTAATATCCTGCTTGACTTTGTACTGCTTATAAAGACTCACCTGAATGATATTCAAGCAATTATATGCAGATACCCTGGGAAAATGATCCATAAATTTCCCAACCAGGGGGCATCCAACAATTATAGCAACTTTGGTGAAAAAACCCATTACCGCAACAGGTAAAAGGCTTGGATGAATCAAGGCAATGGCTGAAGGCCAAGCAAAATTCCAAAGTTGTTCGACTAAATTTCCAGCTATGCAGTTTGCATAGAAAGCTGAAAAACACATACCCTTCAAGTTAACAGCTGCTTAAATAATTCCAGCATTCAACTTCAAAATCACCAGTAGATGTCTAGGACAGAAGATGCAGAATAAGATTATCAAACAAGATTCAATGGCCATGAACTATCTCTAGGACACAATGGCATAATTTAAGATCACAATCACAGTTCAGGTTGACCAATAGAAGGTAGTGGCTAGACAGCAATGTTAGGGATGATATCAATAGCTTTCCTCTAGAGCAACAGACAGGAGTTCCATCTCTTCAAGGTGGTGGGCATGACGTTTAATGCAATTCAATTAGAGAAACAACTACTGAATTCAAATACAATAAAAGTAGTTTTGTTCAACACGTCCATGCAAAAATAATTAAACAATTAGGGACTCACAGGTCACAGCATTCAAAATCACCATGTTTAAGTTCACCAAAGGAAACTTCAGTTGATTTGAATCAATATGAGAATATCACAACATACTCAAGCGTCACAACGATTTGAATGGAGTTCGTAAACTTGGAAAGTGTCTCACCATATAATGCAGCTGGGTGAGCTGGTGTAGCTGCAAGGACATGTTGCTCCTCTTCAGACAAAACCTGTAGAGAAGACCAGATTAAGACGACGAACAGTAAGACAAGACTCAAGAATACTATATATGGAGACAATAGCATACAGGTAATGCTGTCAAGAGACTATCTACGTATGTGTCTTCAGTCAGTAGATTCAGGGACTCGGTCTCAAGAATATCAGAGCTAAGTGTAACTATTGGCACCGGATAATTAGGTTCAACAGTTGATGACTCTCCTTGAGCCTCATCCGTTGTGACATGATCCAAGTGTGTATCGGTATTTGTTATTGAACATCTTGAACTTAAACAGTCAAACCTGTAACCAAAAGGAGGAAATGAGAGAGGTTCTAACGATGCTTGATGCTTGAACAATTGATTCAGAGTCGAAATTTGGAATGGCATCTATAACCTTTCAAATAACATATGCATATGCAAAATCCAAGTTCTTTTGAACCTGAGCTATATAATCAAGCCCGATAGCAGACTTGTTATACACAGCAGATAATATCTATAATGCTATTTTAACCCCAAGAAAATGTCATAATTCTGTCCAACCCAGCCTTCGAAAAAATTGAGAGCAAATAAGCAATCAATAGCAATTTTTCTACATCCCCCAACCCGAATCCCAAACTGGGCAGAAGAATAGCGGCTTGCCGAACGATATCTAATGGGACAGAGAATAAAACAGATGACAGAGCGCTAATCCCGAAGAAAGGGCGTACCTATGTGAGGCAAAAGGATGAATAAAGTTCAACCATCGGCTAGAAGGGAAGCGATGGCGAATTCGAGAGGAAGACGGCGACAATAAAGAAGCTTGGCGAATCGAAAATTTGAAAGAATAGCTGGAGAGGGCGGCCGTAGTAAGAGCCATGGACGCTGCTGCTTGTAAAGCTTCAAGCTCCTAAACTTGAAGGACGCTATGGGGTTTGACCCACTCATGCAGTCCAGGAAAATCTATAAAAATTCTTTACTCTCCACAATGACAGCTTTTTTTGGGTCAAATTTCACTCCTCGACAAACGAACCATGTATTGGTCGGCTGTTCTTCTTGAACTAGGATTTCAGCGAAGAGATTTTTCAGAAAAATTGAGTCCTCTAGGCAAAGCAAATGGATAGTGTGCAGTGAGACTTCGGAAGCAATCTTATCTTGGCGATAGAGTTTTCCGCGAAGAACTTTGGCCGGCACTGTTAAGCGTGATGCTGGTGTTAACTGTCAAGTGCCTGGGAGGCGGAAAGTTCCATTGGGGTTGATTGTGTGGCCATTACTTTGGTGAGCTATTGGGCTGGGTCTTTCCTTACGAGTCCACATGGCCATGTTGTCCAATCCTTAACGCTGACACGATGTCAGTTAATTTTTAAATTTTAAATACAAAATACTCCTTTCACTGATATTTTTTATAAGCTACCATTTAAAAGGTTTATTTATTTTCATTTATACAATAATGTGATTTTATAAATAATATTTAAAATATATTTTTAAAATTATTTTTCATAAAAAATAATAAATTAATTATGCAGAAACATATTTAAAATTTTACACACTTTTATTTTTTTATATTTTTTAAATTAATATTAATGATGTTGATAAAAATAGTTCATAAGCAGGAGCAGAGGAGTGTATGATATTTTTATCCACTAATGTTGATATAAAGTATGCATCATTTTGTAAAAGATCAGTTATATTAATTTTTTTTACAAATACTCTGATTAATTGTATTACATATAAATATTTTAAATGAGAGATAATTTACAAAAATAATAATATTAAATTATTTTTTGAATTAAAAATTATCCTATATTTTAAATAGGTTAGCACAACTTGGCCGCGCACTTGTTTTGGTTGCGTTGGAAATTTCTCTTTCTTCGGGCATGAATATTCTTATTCATATTTAATCCCGGTTTTTGGATAAAGACATTCACCTTTTGTCATCACAATTTTTGTGTCAAAGACTAATAACAGGTTTATTTTAAGATTAAAATTAGCTATTCTCTTCATTAAAAAATATAAATTATTTTTAACTAAATCTTATCCTTAATAAAATAATTACATATTTTTAAATTAATCCTATCTTTTATATTTATTCCTATTAAATATATTATAATAAATATAAAATCATTATCAATAAAAGCACTTTTTAAAAAAGACAATGATTATACCTCAAAAAATTAAAAATGTCTTATATTTTTAAGCATACAACCCCTTAAAAAATACCTTATATTTTTGAATGGATTGAGTATACATTTTATATTTTTCTTATCAAATGATTTAATTCAAATATCTTGTGTATATGTGTGTGTTTTACTGTTGTGTAATTAATACGTTATTTAATTACAATTTTATTATATTTTAATTTTAATTTTACTTAAACTTACCTCATCAAGCCTCGTTGAAAAATTAACATGCTAAAAAACGAGATTATTTTTTCAGGAAGAAGAATGAGTTTGAGGAGCGGCTGATCCAGATCCTCTCCACGGCTTTTTCTTTTATCGTCCCTTCGCGGCAATAATGTCCATGCCATTCATTTCACCCAACTTCACGCGCTTGGCCATGTCATCTAGTGTTGTAGAAGCCAAAAATTGATTTATTGATGAGATCTTAAACTTTTAAATTTTTATTTAAATTTAAATTTAAATACATAAAACTCTTTTAACTTTAAAGTGTTTGTATATAACCCATCTCACATTTAAATATTTAAAATTAACTCCCTTAAAATTTAATTTTATTTTTTAAAACTCTTATTATTAATTAACTCTATTATATTATTAATAGAGTTTGCCATCAAAACAATATTTTTATTAATTTTTTTAACATAATTTAAGGAGATCAAAACTATAATATTCACTTTTAATACATACAGTAATGCTCTCGTTTTTTTTAGTTGAGGAATTTGGTTCTCATTATTCACTATTTACACAATTTAAGAGAAAAACTTATAATTTTATTATTCTTTGTCAATTAAAACTGCCTTTTATATTAAATAAATGGAAAGAAAAATATCTTAAAGCTGTCATCGATAAAAATTATATAAATAAAAATTTATCCTTTAACACAGGAGAACTATGCAGCATTGATTAAAAAAACAAACATGGACAAAATTAATACAAAAGTAAATACTTAAACAATAATATAATTTTTATACATTATTATTTATCTACATACAATGTCATATAAGTTTCTATGTAATTTTTCTTAATCTCAATTTGCAAACTTTATTAATAACATGAGAGGGTAATTAGTAGTAAGGGGCTTTGAAAAAAAAAATAAATATCATGGGTTAATTTTAAATGTTTACAGTAAGAGGAGTCACATGCAATTGCTTCAAATTTAAGAAAATTTTATGTATTTTAACAAAAAAATTATCAAAATAAAAAGTTATAAAATTATAAAAGTTTTCAATAAATTTGCTTATTAGCTCCTAGACAGCTCAAATTGTAGATGGTTCAAATTTAATATTTGATTTTTATATATTGACTCTCCATATTTTATTCTGGATAGTGAATATTTAAATTTTTTAACTCATATTTGAAAAGTACGAGTTTGGAGATTATTTTTAAAAATGGTTAAAATTTACAAAACTCTTTTAAATTTTAAAACAATTACACCAAACCCTCATATTCAAAAGGTTAAAATTAACCTTCACAACCTTTTATTTTTATTGCAAACTCCCCTGTTACTACTTGTTAGTTATCTTTACCAATAAAAGTTTCCATTTCACATTAAAAAAAAGACGCGAAACAGCTTTTGTGATATTCAATGTAACTTAATGATAGCCTATAAATAAAATGTCTATATTTTTCTATTATTATTTGTTCATATCAAATGCTAAATTTGTTGGAAATTTTTGTATATTTTAACCTAAAAAATTTAATATTAAATATGGATTATCAAATTCATTTGGAATGTCAATTTATAACAATTATAAAGAAATTCATAGTAAATTGAACTTTTTAAATTAAGTATATACTGTCAAATTGGTGATGAATATATTTATTAAACAATTATATTTTAACAAATATAAATTAAAACTTTAAATCTATATTATTCAAACCTAAGTCTCCCTTGGACGAGTTCATGAGCACCCAAAAGGCCAAAGCAGACCAGAATTTTGAGGGAACAGCCGAACTAGGAAGGTGAGACTTTTAAGGTTGTTGGCTTCTACAAAATGAGATGACGTGAATATTGAATGGTTATAAAACAAAAGAGATAATGTGTCGACGCATGGGAAGCTGAATGAAATTAATGGTTTGGATATGGATGCCGAGCGCCCAGTCTGTGGCATGCGACATTGTAACGTAGTAAAATTCCAAAAGAAGACGAACAAATGTAAAGGAGACGTGAGATCCTCATGAGCTTCCCTGGAAGCTTGAAAGAATCAAGAATTATCAACCCGGCCCAATCCGTGAGGTGATCACTGTCATTGGAATCAGATATTTAGATTTTTGTCTCTGGGCTTTGACTCCTTCCGGGTTGAATATCTTTCAAGCTTTACACATTTTAAGTAACCTTTTTCCACCCAAAAGCTACTGTTTTTTCTTAGTAATCATGCTTGAAGTTACTTTATTAGGTTACTACAACGAGAAAAGAATGGAATGGCAATAAAAAATTTAGTTCATAACTTACAATATCATGCATTTAAATCATGAGAGTGATATAAGAATATTATTGACAAATAATCTATAAACATGTTTACATATATTTTTGAATTCAGAAATATGTCCTAGATGCAGTGAACTTCTTAGACTCATTTTATCTAATTTTTTTATGAAAAAATAAAATGCTTCCTATCAAGAAAGAATGATAAAATGCTCTTTTTTTTATGGGAATAAGATTATTATATTTTACGTTTCAGGTAGATTTTGGCAGATTCAAAGCTATGTTTGCCGGTCACCATACGTTGTATGTTTCATATGTGGGATGTGGCGATATCTTTTTACTGAAAATGAAAAGAAAATGTTATAAAAATATATCTAGAAAGAATGAAATTTTGTAATTTGTATTATTTAAAAATGACTAGGATCATCAAGGAAAAAATATTAAAAATGAAAACGAAGAAAATAAGGGTATGTCTGGTTAAACAATTTTTGAAATTATTTTTCAAAACAAAACAAAATAAAAATCTATTTAATAATATTAATTTAAAAATAATTTTAGAATTAAAAAGTAGACTGACGATGACTGTTATAAGCGATTAATTATGGTAATTTACGATAGAGTTTGGTCAAAAAAATGTAATTTTCAATAATTAAATATGATTTATTTTGAAAATAAGAAAAATAAAATGAAAACAACTTGAAATTGGAAAAATACTTAGGTATACCAAGTGCATCACATCATTTGTAGCATGTCAAATAAAAAATGACATTTAGGTGACATTAAATATAAATTAATTTTGATATTAATGATAGTAGAAAAAGAAAATGCAAGAAATTAAATGTACATTCTATTATAAAAATATAATTAATTTTAAAAATGTCACACAATATTTTATTTAGATATTTCAAACATTTTAATTGGACAAACAATAAATAGCGTAATACATTCGATTCACTTAAGTGTTTTTTCTCGAGGTCGTTTCTATTTTTTTGTTTTGAAAAGTAAAAACAAAAAAAATTAAAAATAATTAAATTAAAAACATTTATTCAAATAAGTTTTTTAAATAAAAAATATTTTTAAAAAACTGAAAACAAATAAGCCCTAGCTATGGCACCGTCATACATGATATCATGGATGAAATCACAAGGGCATAGGCAGCAGTGCAATGCGCCAATACTTTGGCTTTGATCTCGTCAATTTTTCGGTGTTCGACTCATGTGACCAGCGACAGAAACGCAGGGGTCGAGCAGGGGCGCTGGCCCCCGTGATAAAATGCTCCTTTGTAGAATGGGCTTAGTTTTACTTGCAACGCATGTTAAAATTAATTTTGGCCTCCATCTTCTTGTAATTTTTCACTTTTGGCCTGTTTATGTTTTAATTTCTACGTCCATCCCTGTATGTGACGAAGCTAGTTTGCTGTGTCTCCAAGCCAAACATGTTATTCAATGTCATTTCCGTTCTCAACTTCATAGTGAAACATCTTGCCAGCAATTAACAAAATTTAGTAGTTATGGAATTAAATTTCATTGTCACGTAAAAACTTTATTAATAAGCATTTTTTAAGTTTGAAGTACTTTAGTAGTCTACCAAAATTCGACTCACCTCAATTTTTATCTATATATAAAAAAAAAAACTGCCAACCAAATGAATTG